GAGCTATGATAGCTAATTATCGTGTGGCTACCTGCCACCACCATATCAAAGATAAAACAAAAACAACAGAATCCACTATTAACTAATCAGTTTGGCAATTTCATATACATACTACTAAAATAGAGAGTGACATTTTTGCTTGACCGAGGTTTTCTATTTTTAAAAAAAAACCCCATGAGGAGTTACTACAGAAAAATGAAGAAGATATATCTCTCAGACACACTAGCTACAAGGTTAATAGCATAATTTCCCTACAATCTGCTATTTACTATAATTAGCAACACAACTAATATTAATACATTATTAAGCATGCAGAGTGTGTTAAGCAGTATTCACTCCTTAACCAGAAAATGCCCATATAAATAAGAAAATGATGTTTCAGTTCTTTTTAAAAATAATAAATATGGATGACTATTACAACTACTAGATTTACATAATTTGCTCTGTACTGACAAAGCTTTTCCTTAAGCTCCCAATTTTCAACATCTTTATTATTTAGAATAGATAGGTACCCAGGAGAAGTTTCTGAAGCAAATATTTTTATCACTAGCCTCTCTTAGGTGCCAGCAATCTAGTCCAGGGAAGTAACAGAGGACAAGCTGGTTACCTCAATATCTGTAGACGTCCGCACTCTCTTCTTAAGTAGAGTCGGGCATAGTTCCAATAAAAGTCCTTGGGCTAAGGGTCAAAATACAGATTCTAGGGTAAACTCTGTCCCTCACTGGATGTGTGACCTCAAATACATCTTAAGCTCTTTGATCTACGTTTCCTCACCTGTATCAAAATGGAGATGCTAACAGTACCTGTCCCAGGTACTCAGCCACAAAACTGCCTTGAGAACATGTGCAATTATGTTGGCCAAAGTGTTTCATAAGTGGTAACATGCTATTGAAATGCCAGAGTTTTCACTCATTTGGGATGAGGATGGAAGAGTGACAAGGGGGTTTACATCAAGAAAACAGTCAGTTCTTCTATGTTGCTGGCAACCTGAGCTAAGAATAAAGTCAGTTTTCAACACCTTCCAACCTAACATCCATTCCACTTACAGGTTTAGTGGAGGGAGCCACACTCTGGACTCTTCTTGTGCCTTTTTTGGCATGAGTGACCCTGGATGACAGGTCTGGGCAGGCTGCTCTGCCAGAGGCCAGGTTTACCGGCTGAAGGTGAAGTAGGAAGAGCAGTGAGTAGGAAGAATCCAAGAGGCCAGAGAGAGGTCTTTATAGGAAACATCCCCACCTGCCTTCCAAAGTCATGCCATTAGGTTAGGGAGGACTCCAAATTCTAACGTGATGGTCCAGGTGGGGGAAACTGTCATGGTTCAGTCAGTTGTCTGAGCTCAGCATCTCCTAGGATCCGGGGAAATGTCTACACGAGCCAATACTGCGGCAAGAACATTTGATCTTTCCCAAGAAGGCGAAGGACCATGACTCACCGGTTCTTACCACAGCTTGCTTCTATTTCCCTCCCCTTTACCTCCCCACACACACCTTGTCTGACGGTTGAATTTCACAATACTTGGCTTTGAGCTCCATAGTAAGTTTTTTTTTTTTTTTTGCCATATAAAAGAGAAGATTTTTGTAGAAATCCATTCCAAAGGTAGATAGGAGTGCAATAATGAAACTTTCTTCACTTTAAATTTTTAAATGCCCATTTCTATTTTAAAATTTAAATGTTCTATTAAGTTTGCATTTGGCTTCTACCTAGACAGTTACAAGTGGACTGCAGAAGGTCTTCTACCTTTTGCTTTTTCTCTCTCTTCTTTTTTTGGCTCTTAAAAAAGAGAAAGAAAATCTAATAATTCAATGAAAGTAAGTTAATGTAGAACTTCAGTACAATGCCTTCCAAAGAGGTGACAACACACTTATTTGTCAGCTAAATGATAGGAAAAAAGGCTGATGTTAAAGGACTCTCGGTAAAGTAGTATCGCTCAGACTGACCAGAGGAAACAGTATCGATATATAGATGTGTGTGTTGCGGGGTGGGCTGGGGTGGAGGAGGGTTCTCTAACAAAGAGAAGCTCTACTGTCATGAGAACACCTTACATGTATATGCTGCTTTGTAATTAAAAACCTTTCTTACCCCTTCCTTTATATGCTTTGTATGGTCCTTCATACCCTTGACTCCAAATCCACAGCTCTTTGCCATACGCCATCAGTTTTTGGGGTACACAGAACACCGGATCCCACAGATGGTCAATGGCGTGCCGGGATTGGAATCCAAGCTTGGCTGGTTCCTGAGAACTTCTAGTCTTTTTACAGGGGAAGGTGCCTATCTTATTGTATAGCCTACATTACATAAAAAGGGGAACTTGTTTGACTCTCAATTGAACTAAGTCTAGTTGCAATGAAGGACTTTCGGGCCAAGTTTTAACATCCTTTCCCATAGGATCCCATGAGCATCCAGAGAAAGGGTAATCATCACAAAAAAAGAACAAAAAGACCAGAAAACTCCTCCCATGACCCTGCAGGTTAGGGATGCCTCCGGCACCCTGATGAGCCCTGGTTCTGAGCCTAACAGGCCAACGTTCCAGAGTTGCAGGTATTAAGCATACATTATATTGACTCTTTATGTCTTTTGAAATCCTCATTTACAACTGCAAACATTTTTTAATGCCTTCATCTCCATAAAATGCCTAGGTTTTTCATAGGTGAGACCAGGACTTCGTGGGCTCAAGTTTGGCCAGGGGCTCTGCGATTCGGCGGGAGATGCTAGGGCAACAATGCCTCCGTCTGGGAAAGGCTGACTGCTCAGTCTCTGCAAAACCCGAGTTGTAGGTTTCCTCCACCCCTTCCTAATAGGACCTGGGTGCTGAGCCCCCCGTGTCTGTGGCTACCTGCTCGTATTTCTCCAGCTCCGTGTGGTAGATTTGTCTGATCTGTGACAGTTTGGCTCTGTAATCGGAATGCTCCACTGAGTTGTCGGAACCTGCTCCTCCAGAAGCTGCCGCTGCTGCCGCTGCCGCAGCCGATCCTCCGCCCTTCTCAGGCCCCGCCACCCCTTCCGCTAAGAGCATGTTGTCCAGTCGCATCAGCTGGGGGTCTGTGGGCTCCTCTTCCTGCGCTCCTCGAATACTCAAAACTGCGGGAAAAGACAAAGGGAAAGGGGAGTGTTAACAACAACCCAAGAGAAAATTTAAAACAAAAACAATTGTGCAATTTGGCTAGACAAGCCTCCAAATCACTTGCAACACGGCATTTGAGGAAAAGAGGAAGGGCTGCAAACAGAGAGCAACTGGGAGGGTAGGAAAATGGAAGGAGGGCTCGCTTTGTTCCAGAATCACACTCCTCCTATATGAGGCAGCTAGAATAGTCGAGTTTATGGAGACAGAATGTAGAACAATGAGTGCCAGGGGCTGGGGGAGGCGGGAATGGGAGTTATTGCTTCATGGGTACAGAGCTTCATTTTGGGAAGATGGAGGTGTTTTTGAGATAAATGGTGGTGATGGTTGCACAATAATGTCAATGTATTTAATGCCACTGAACTGTTCACTCAAAAATAGTTAAAATTGGCCGGGCGCGGTGGCTCACGCCTGTAATCCTAGCACTCTGGGAGGCCGAGGCGGGCGAATCGTTTGAGCTCAGGAGTTCGAGACCAGCCTGAGCAAGAGCGAGACCCCGTCTCTACTAAAAATAGAAAGAAATTAATCGGACAACTAAAAATATATAGAAAAAATTAGCTGGGCATGGTGGCGCATGCCTGTAGTCCCAGCTACTCGGGAGGCTGAGGCAGAAGGATTGCTTGAGCCCAGGAGTTTGAGGTTGCTGTGAGCTAGGATGACGCCACGGCACTCTAGCCCGGGCAACACAGTGAGACTCTGTCTCAAAAAAAAAAAAATAGTTAAAATTGTTAAATTTTATAGTTACGTGTGTTTTACTACAATAAAAAAATTTAAAACTACAAAAAGTTAATTACAACAATGTAATTTTTACTTTTATTCCCAAACTATCAATTTCAATTTAAAGAAAATCATTTCCTTCTTTATTTCTACTATTTGATTTCTGTAAATTTGTGGTTTTGCACTCATTGACTTTCTTTGTAATATTTGGTCAGTCTAAATTTTCATTTCCGAAATAACCTAAGCTAGGTAAATCCAGTGAATTTGGAGTGAAATCTTAAGACCACACCTCTAGACTAGGAGAGAGTGGAGAAAAGTCTAATATATTGATAGTAAGAAGACAAATTGGCTCTGGAGTAGGGACGTCTAGCTCCAAAAATTGAGATCTACCTGTTCCAGGTGATAAGGACTCTGTCCCGTTGAAAACAAGGGTGAAGCGTTTTTAACAAGGTGTCTCGGGGATTCAGAGAAGCCAGTGCTCTGGGAGGACGGAGTCCCCATCAGTGAGATGGCTGCTTTTTATTAAAACACCATGAATATTGGTGGTGATTTGGACTGAAAGAGATCGAGTGATTTAGTAAATCAGCAGAAGAGCTAGACAGTCTTTTTTACTGCCCCTCCACACGACCTGCCATAAAATAAATCACTCATCTGCATCCGGTTTAGCTGTCAGCAGTCAAGTCTTTGTTAAGAGGGAACATGAAAAGTACTTTCAATTTTTAAAAATATTGAACAAAATTTTTGGATGAGGTAGGAAAAGGAGGGAAGTGATTAAAGGCAGAGAAGGGGTCTAGCGTTCATTTACATTTGGGGGATGGAGGTGGCAGGGTCTAAGTCCCCGGTAGATATATGAGCACCAGAGCAGACTCCAGAGCTGCTTCAGGGCAGGGTACATTAGGTGAGCCCCGTTCCAGTTGTATCTTGAGCCCCAGCAAGGCAGCCCCCTGTGAGTCCCAACAGGAAAGGCAGAAAAGAGCTCAGTACAAGAAGACATCCAGATGTTCAGGACATTCTGCCACGTGTAATACCAGCATCGCTGCTGGCTGTGCCCACATGCTCCTGGCTTCCAACAGTCATGACAAGAACCAACCTTGCAAGTTGCTTAGAAGGAAATCCCAATTCCTGTGCCCAAAGGAATCTGGCTCTCATGAAACATGAGACAGTCAAGTGGATGGTCAAGCCATGTGGACCAGTGGTGGCGGTGAGGAGCAAAGAGGATGAAAGGTACAGGGGAAAAACTCGTGCTTCTTGATGCAGGAGAGGAAGGGAGAAAGGGAGCAGGGAGAGGGAAGGCAGTTAGCCAGGAGAGAGAAAAGAAGGAAGCCCGACCTGGACACCTGGACGCAGACCACGGCACTTCAGTACCAGGTCGCCATCTTCCCTTTTCTAGCCTGAACTTTTAATATTCTGCTGCATGAAAATGAAATTGCTATAGTGGTGATGGCACAAGGTCAGAGGATCGTTGAGATTCTTTATGTGGACTTTTTTTCCCCAAAGAAATCCTTCTTTTGTAGCTCAGGAGACTGAACGGCAAATTGCCCCTTTGGTTGATCTTTGAATAATATTTAGCCACATTATTCCATTTCTTGAATTTATTTACTCAGACCTCCAAAGTCTTCTGAAGAACATATCACCACTAATAAAGGTTTCCTTCAGAAAGTAATCAAATGCTGTAACCACTTCCTGAATACCAGGCCCTAAAGGTGCTAAAAAGAATCTGCCCATCCAAGCACCTGGCGGCAGGCGGGCCCAGCAGCGCCTCCTTCCTCACCTCTATGGTGGGGGGTCACGGGGTTCATGGGTAAATTTATTTTTATTTGGTAAATTTCAATTGCTTTATCAACAAAGATATCTGTGGGCCATTTACAAATTTTTAAAAATCATCTCCGAGCCATTAATAAACAAGTGTAATTGTTTCACTTTAGCTTGATTATTCAAAAAATTGCACTGATGCAAAATTCTACTCTCTCATCCACTCTACTGAATCTCACACCTACTCTACTCCCTTCAGAAGAGGCCGGAAGCCCCCCCGAGCCAACAGGAAAATTGCCCGAGATGCTGAGGCTGGTAGCACTTCAGCTAGGAGGTAATGTCTCCAAGTGGGCCCTCCTGGTTATGTCCTGGCCGATCCCTCTTGCATGAGGCCCAACGCTGAAAGATCTTATGACAGTTTCTGGCCTCAACAACAATACCAAAGCAAAAAGGAACGGTATCACCTTAATGGTCAGGTCTCACCAGGGTGCGTGTAGGCACTGCCTACCTGAGGTGACATCAAATACCCACCTCCTCCAACAGCAGGGGACCTAAGGCTGCCTCCTCACTCCCTTCGCCTAGTCCGCTGGCAAAGCTCAGTTGAGCGAAGGAGGTAGAGACACAGGCAGCCGCAGCCCAGAGTTCTGGTCCTAGTTCCCCCAGATGCTGCGTAGGTGACCACAAGCACATCACTAATAATATTTCCCGTATGCCTAATATTTCCCTCTGAGAATATTTTCTCCTTCCACCCCTTCTCAGTTTCATACCTACGCTCCACTTTTTCCTTGAACAATCCACAGGAAGCACAAACTATTCCACACAAACTCTACACACCTACCTAATTAATATTTTCTTTGGCCTTGAAATCTAACTGCTTTTAAAGAAAATAAGAAAGGAAATAGCTAAGGCTGTCAAGGACACTCAAAGGACACACGGGAAGTCCCTACCCATCATGGACGTTTTGGGAGGGTCACAGAGCTTAAAGCACTGATATATATTGACTCCTTTTTTTTAGGTATGAGGAATATATTTAGTTTTCAGGGGTCGGGGAGCGACAAAAAAAGTGTTAGCATTTTGCTTAGATCTGACAACATTTTATGAATCCTATAAACAAATACTCCTTAAACGGAAATTTGGAATCACCAAGATTGAATAGAATTGGTTTCTAAATGTAGCCAATTAGAAATTGGCATGATAGGAATACAACCCACCATAATGCAAATGTTGCCTGCATTTACACTCAGGAGTTCAGGATGCATAAATAGGTCCCAAACCAGAGATCTGAAGAAAATAAAAGAATGAAAACATGTGGAAAAACAAAAAAACCACCAGTCCTCTCCAAATTGCACCCTTTAAACTATACAAAATTATAGAAAAATAGAAAACGTCAGAATACGTGCAAGAACCAAAAAAAAAGAACGATATAAATAAGGGAAAACCTTAAAAGAAAATCTCCATCTACTTTGCATAGCAGATTCTGGTCCTGGTGGACTCAGGCTGTGTATGTACGCTTGGCGTGGGCAGGGCTGGACCAATAAACACTTCATGGTCATTTCTCTACCCAGAACAGGGAGAATCTGAATGTACCACTATAAAAATGGGCGTTGGGTTCACTGGCACAGAAACTGTTCAGCTAGTCGGTTAAAAAAAAAAAAACAAAACACCAACATTAAATAAATGAACAGGGCGATAAGTCTAAGCAGAAGCGATTCTACCTATTTATTGCTTGAAGCCGGCACTCAGGCGAGTAGGAGACAAAATGATTATTTAAAAGCTCCTTTTTTATCTCTGCAGCACCATGCAAGACTCAAATGAACCTTTCGCCAGGACACCAGAGATGTTAACGCTCATCCTCCAAGATCCAATTTCAACCAGCGGAGCTGTTACCTAATCCAGCACCCATCACATATGATCAGGTTCCCGCTTCCCTGATGGGCGCCCCGCACTCCCACCCTCCCCTAACCTCTTCCCTCCCCAGCCCGACAGCTTTTAGTGAAACAGCTTTTTTAAAGGGCCACATCCCCAGTTTGTGCTAGCACATATCAGATTTTAAATGGCCAGGCAGGCCTGTATACTTCCACTACCTAAAAAAAAAAGTCATCGATCGCACTGGATTTGCAATCTGCAGAGGGCTTGCCCATGAAGATATTTAACCCATTTAGCAATAATTCTTATAGAGGAGTTTCCTTCTCACAAATCTACCCCCTTACGGAAGAGATCAGTCAAGACGGGTAAGTGATTTATATAGAAATTGTCACAGCCCTTTAAAAAGCATCTGATGTCACATCCACCTTGCTGCCATTGCTTGCCCTGGGGTTAATTCTTTGGTAAAACTCCCAAGATAAGGGGACTGTCACAGCACAGTCGGAGCTGCTCTCACAACTGGTCTCCTGCTGCTCCTTCTTTCTTTATTTTTCTTCACACAAGGAGAAAAACAAACCAAACCCAAAGGCATATTCAAGATCATCCTTGGCGGGAGGGCTGTGCGCGG